ATGCGGTTGTCTACAACTGAGAACCCTGTTCATTACCCTTGTCATTTTTTAGTATGTCAGCTAAATCTAACGTCAGGTATTTATAACTTTTGCAAATATCATTGGAAATCATATAACCAAGCATGTCAAGACAGTAAATGTAGTGCACATCTCAGGCATTAGGTTTAGTGAAATGGCAGTGTTTATTTTAGAATAAAGTACATAGTTTTTAATATTACTTTTAAACTTTACTCTGAAAACAGATCTGAAATAGGGATGTAGTTAGGAGAGCTGATAATGGGTAAAGGTGTCTAGAGAAGCAGAAATTATAATCCAAACTGGATATAGAATAATGAAAAAAAAAAATATATATATATATATATGTATGCTAAAGCACTTTAAAAGGAAAGGAAGTACAGAAGAAAAATTCAAAACATCTAAACATACTTTTCAGGTTCCAAAATTTTTCTACGTAAGTTTTGACATCTTTTCTCACAAAATATATTCTCTCTTATATCACAAATGTCATTCCATGGCACATAGGGAAGTTATACATAGTTAGGGTATACACCAAGGCATCACTATTGATTTACTGCTGTGAGGATAGTAAATCCCAAATGTACTGGCATCACTAGTATATTGTAAAACTAAAGCTGTCTGGGTTTCTAATTTCTGAATTAATTTTCAAAGAAAACATGGAAAACAACATGTGGTTAGCATTTAATTTATAAAGTTAATTAAATTTGGTTATAAATATTGATATTAAAACTAGAAATAAACAGATAAATAGAAAACTTTGCTATAAAAGATAAATCAAAGCATAGACTTTTGAGAAATGCATGATTAATAATCATAATATGGAAAGCACAGAGACAGCTACAATTAGCAATGTGATGTGTTTAATTCTAGTACTTATTATATAGGGGTTTTTTTGATGGCTTACTTAGTTTTACATAGATATAAGCACCCAGGAATTCCATGAGTTCTCTCTTTTACTTATTTTTTAAGCATTTAAAACATTTTAAACAATTCATACAATTTTATAAGTATATAATATTTTCAGTTAGTAGTAGTTTAAATTATTCCCCTATCAGTGGTTACCAAAATGTTGAGTTGTTTTCAGTTTTATGGTAATACAAATAATATCATAGCAGACATATTTGTATATAAGTTATTTTTCATATTCAGATTTCTTTGCTTAGGAGAGATACACAGAATCATAAACAATGAAATCCCTGGATGAAAATTAGCCAGCCACTTTCTAAAATGTGTATTGTAAATCATATTCCAGGTGAAGTGCCAGATCTTTTGATAAAAATATACAGTGAATAAATGAGGCCACTGGAAGTGAAATAGGATGGTGGATGGGTAATGGCACCTGGGTAATTTAATCTGAAACTTGTAATTACTAGTGGCGTTGAACATTCTTCTATAGATTTGTTAACTAGTTGCAGCTTTTGTTTCATACATTATGCTGTTTGTACATATATCCATGAGGCTCTTGATGGAAATTTTATTTTATTTTTTAAAAACAAATTTTATGAAGGTGCAATATCACAGGACAGTGTCACAGGCAGTTGAGAGAGATGCAGATCCAAGAGTCCAGGTCAAAGGCAGTGCTATGTGCAGAGGTTAGAACATTAGAAGAGACCAAGAAATAATCATATGAGGAATGAAAGTCTTATGTCAAAAATCCAGCTTATTAGTATTCTTGTGGCCTCAAAAACAGAGTTAATTGAACTAATTCATATTTTGGGTGCCTTGTCTTGAAGTGTAAATGTACTGTAATGGAGATAGTGTGGAATTTGAAACACAAGGTCCCAGGTATATTTTATAGTCATGTGTCTGTATGTGGTAGATAGCACAAATGGCCACAGATTCTATCTGACTCTGTAAAAATATTCTTTTGCAGTGTGCTTTTGCAGCTCCTGCCATTAGAAGTGGAACTTATTTTTTTAACACTTGAATTTGTGCTTGGTCATGTGACTTGCTCTGGCCAATGGATCATTAGCAAATATGATTCAAGTAAAGGTTTGTAAAAAAAACTATGCATTAGCGCTTGCTCTCTTGCTGCATTTGAAACACTAAGACCACCATAGGATTGATCCTTTTGCAGGAAAAGGGACACAGAAGAGACTCTAGATATCCTGATCAATAATTGGCCAGCAAAAACCCTGCTAACCACTAGTCATGTGAGTGAGTGAATGAGGCCATCCCATATCAACCAGCTGCCTGCTTGCTCTAGCTGACCACAAATATTTTTCAATATATGTCACATGAACTGAAATAAACACAAAAACTAGCCAACTAGAATGAATACCTCCTCTGGGCTTGCCAGGGCCTTTCAGGGTTTTAGCATTGCAAGTTCATCACCTCAGGCCAGAAATCTCTTCAGTCCTGGGCAAACTGAGACAGCTGATCATCCTATACCCAGATAACCCAATGATTGGTAATGGTTGTTGTTTAAAACCATTAAGTTTTAGAATGTTTTGTTATACAGCAAAAACTAACTGATATTCAAAACCCCTCATAGTTTACTTTTCTGCCATCTGAAAATAAAGAATAAAAATTCCAAATTGTCAGGAGAGGCTATTCAGATCATTCCTACAAAAATCTTACAATGTGAAATGCATCTGTGTTTGATAATTTATATCATTAAAGCTAAATGTTTTCTGTCTTCCATTTATATAGTAGCTTCCTCATATTTTCAAAGGATCCTGACAGTTCTGTGAGATTATAGCAGGTGAAAAGGAGTACCTTTTTCATTTCTTCCTTTCTTTTTCTTATTTTCTTCCTCATGGTGCTCCCAACTCCTCTTTGGAGGTGATTTTGATATAAGAATTTTCTCTATTATCATCCAATATTATTTCTTATTTTTGTCCCCTTTACTTTCTCCTGTTATCTTCCTTTTTTCTCCTCATATATCATAAATTCACTACTGTTGTTCTTTCAGCTTTTTTGGATGCTGGCTATTTGTAAGAGATAGGTACCAAGTAGGCCACTACTAGAATAAAGAAAGAGTAATAGAGATTTGAAAAGTTTAAGCATAGGGTGATAAACTACAGCTGTACTGAAATTCACTTCAGTTGCCATGTTCACTTTTTGTATAGGACTGGATCCTCACCTGTGTGATTTATTTAAACACATATTGATGTTCGTTGAGTGTCCACTATGTGCTAGGCAGAGTACAAGGCACTAAAAAATGCCAGGAGAGGTAAGTGAGAAGGAGTCCTGCCTTTTAGAAGCTTCAACAATAATCAAGTCAAAAACACCACGAAGAGGAAGAAATTTATGTAACAAGGCCACAAAACTGGGAGAACTTGCCAGTGTTCAGGGAAATCTTCCCAGAGGAAGTGATAGGTGAAGAGTGAATATTGGTTAACTGAAGGAATAATTGGTTAACTGAATATTGGTAATAGAAGGGAGTGTGTGACACATGGTATTTTCCAAAAATGCCTATGAGAATGTAGAAATACAGTTTACATGCTTTGTTAAGGACTGTTTGGGCTACTCTTTTCGCCTTAAATTGAAGCGAGTCTTTGTTTTTGTTTTTTTGGTACCAGGGATTGAACTAGGGTCCTTGTGCTTGCGCAGCAGGTAGTGAAACCACTGAGCTAAATCTCTAGCCCCAAAACATTATGTTTTTTTGTTTTGTTTGTTGTTGTTTTTGGTACCGGGGATCGAACTCGGGTCCTTGTGCTTGCAAGGGAGGCTGTGGAACCACTGAGCTAAATCCCCTGCCTGTGAAGTGAGTCTTTGTAATTATGGTAGATAATGGAATGTGGTGGAAGGGGAACTATATAATCTCTGAGGCTGGTTTATAAAAGGACTTTTGCCATACTCACTGACTTCAGATATGTGACTCTGAGTCATTACCTGCAGTATAAAAATTCTAGCTGCCTTGACGGTATCTGCAAGAGATACCACATAGAGATTCCACATAGAAATAGCAAAAGATGCCCAAGGAATAGTGGTTTCAGCCTCAGCATTTTCAATCTTTCCGGGCCCCATACCAACATGAATGAGCAACTTTCCAGAGATATAATAACACCAGGTAACTTTTAAATACATCTAAGAAGTACCACAAAATTGTGATTTAATGAATTTCATTTCTATGTTTGGAAGTTACATTAATTGTACTATACCATTAATATAGCTATGAAAATGTTACAGGTTCAAATATTCAAGGTCTAAAAGAAATCAGCATGGAACTTGTAAAATTTAGTTCATGGGCCTCATGAACAGTAGTTCTAAAAAAAATTACACTTAAGTATAATTTTAAAGTACATTGTTAATCTGCATAGAGGCTTTAAAAATCTTTTGTCTAAATAGATTTGCAAGCCACATTATTTTAAAAGTATTCAGTTGACACCATAACTCTCAGTCTAAAAGAATATTTTTCTGCCTTTGTCTATGAAGATGAACCACTGACCCACATGGGTTGTAGACTACCCAGAGTTACTCTGCTGTTAGTGGCAATGGGTCACGGAGAGCCTTTCTACTCTTCACCACAGCACACATTGGTTGAGCTGACAGTGGTCTGGTTGAAGGGAAGTGCTTATCTTTGGAGTGCAGAGATAACTTTCTCTCCCTGACCACACCTGAAACTTCTTCCCAATCGAAATAACCAGATTCTGGAAGTGCAGTGCCATTACTCTCCCTTGCTTACACAGTTAAAACAGTATTGGGTCTCTTCCCAGTTAGCATCAGGATCTCTAATTCATCAGGTTCAAGGAGCAATGATGGAGTGACTACTAGTCTCAAGGAGAATTGCTAAGTAGTGGGTGATGGGGGGATATGTTAAATAGAAAACTGAATACCAAATAATATTTGGCTTCAAGGAATTAAAAACTAGAGGTAGAGAAAAGAGTTGATAAATAAGCCCAGAACAAGTAAAATGACCAAAGTAGTGTGGTCTCAAGGTGCAGCCTCATCAGACACACCAGACAGCTCCTTGAAGGTCATGCCACTCCCTGGGGCATGGAGTCAGCTAAGCCACCCACCTACAATGAACCACCAACCTCTTTCCAGCCTTGCGATGAGTCTTCCCCCTGCAATGCCTGGTAGCATCCCTTCTACACATCCAACTACTTTCTTCCATTCCCTGGCTCTTCTGATAGGGTGCAGTGCAATCTCTTTTGATAGTGGTCAGAACAGATCAAACAGAGGCCTCTCTACGGAAGTAGGAAAGGGAGAAGTTAGAGCTGATCAGATATTACTTACTAACTGATTTTTTTTCCAGTAAAAAGCAGATACTTAAAAATTTTAAGAAAACCTACAAGGAAATGTGTTTAATTCTCACTGTAGTTACCTGTGAACTTCATAAGTGAGAGTTTTATGCTGTATTTAAAAAGTCATAAAACATATAACAGAAGATTATATTGCTCAGACAGGAGGGGGAAGTTGAGGCTGAACATTTGCTCTGTGGCCACTACATATTAAAAGACTCTGATTTACTTAGTGAGGATAAAGTTAAATTATAGTGTGCTCATTTTGGCAACAAATGAACTAAAAGAAACGAGAATACTACTATCTACTACACTTGAGAACCTACTATAACCTGCTTATATATAACCTGGTTATATGTCTTGGGAAATCAAATCCCTAACACTGCCATATAAAGTGAATATTTTGTCCCCGTTTTACAGATGAGGAATGTGAGACTTGGAGATGTTATAAAACATGCACAAGATCATTCTGTAAACTCTGTCTTCCATGCCTCCACTTTCTCTCTCATGGTATATGGAAAATATCTATTTCAGTATGTGGACTAGGAAGTTTTGCAAGACTTTGAGAGGAAGAGAGACATTTGAACTGTGATTTTAAAGACACCCCTAGTGGTGATATAAAGGAGAGATCATGGAAGAGAGAGATTGGAGCTAAAGAGATATTGGAGGTGTAATAAGATAAGGAAGATCTACAAAATGCCAATGTGGATAGCATTACCATCAAGAGGAGAGATACAGAAGTTATTGTGGATTTGGACTGATGGAGACTTAGAAAGTAATTGGATGTGTGGAGTTTGGGAGATCTGAGTCAAAGATGACAGCAGTTTCTAAATGATGGAGCTAGGAGGGCAGTGCTGCAGGATTAAGGTGCTGGCAGGTCATCCATATGGAGATGATCAAGTGGCATTCAAAATGATGCTCTGGACATGTAACCCTAAGTCATCCTGTTTCCCATTTTTCACCTGACTTGTTTGACTTTGCTATTTACCATTCCATGAGTCTATTCCAGTACTCAATGCTTAAAGGATATTTTGTGGGACAAGAAGCTATCATTATAACTCCAACTTATATTTCAATAGTGTAGTATAGAGTTCTGTGGTTCTGCTATTGTGGCTAATTTATTTTCCTCATTAGTGTGCAAAAATCATCATCATCATAACTCCTGTTCTAACAGTTTTATGATACAATAGAATAAATAAAATTGTAGGTATATATGAGAACCTCTGTTCTTACATTTTCTTATTCATTGAGTACCTACAGAAAAGGAAAGGCAGTATTTTCCAAGTTATATTGGGCAAATTTAGCAGATAAATATACAAGACACTGGTTAAATATGAATTTCAGATAAATAAATAAAAATTGTTCCATTTAAGTAGGACCCAAAAAACATTTGGGATTAACTTATACTAAACATATGCTTTTTAAAAAACTTGATACTCACATTTCATTGAGCATCTTGTATTGTACCCAGCAATACTACCTACTACCTGAGATATCTTCTGGAACATTTGTGTGCGAAATGTTGATGAGTGTTACATGGGGAAAATTATATGAGAGAGAGAGAGACAGGTACAGGGAGAGGGAGAAGGAGAAGGAGAGGAGAAAAAGGAAAGTCACGGTTTCTTTCCTTTGGATTGTCTCTGGAACTTTGATCAGCTTCTACATACTGAAAGTTTCCTGCAGGAAAGGTTTCTCAAATTTTGTTTGACCAGATGTTGCCTTGATGCCTTGTGGATGTTGTGTGTAAGGTGGTTGCCAATCTTTCTGTAACTCTTCCTGTGTCAATATTAGGTGGCATGATGTGGTCATGAGAAGGCATGAGATACAGACTCAGGAACCTGAATTCAAGTCCCTGGCCTATCAATCACTAGGAGTTTGAAACTGAGCAAGTATCCAAACTTCAGTGGACTCCGTTTCATCCTTTAGGGCTAATATAACACATAACACATCGAATTCTGAGGCTTAAGAGACAGTTCCTGGGAGAGAAATTTGCACATAGCAAAGCACAACCCAAATCTCAGTTTTCTTTTATGTGGGGTACATACTTGTTCTTTATTTATTCATCCTCTGAAACCTTCATTGACCTTTGCATTCAATTTCAGCTGGTACAACAAGCCTGCTCCTAGTGCTCACTGCCTTGTGGGCTTCAGTTGGTGTAACATACAGCAATGTGCAGGAGCACAATTCACAAGGGCCATCAAATTCACATTTGTGGTGCTCCCTGGTGTTGTGCAGTCCACCTCCCAACTGATGCTAAAAGCTTTGTAAGAAGAGAAGAGAAACAAAATGAAGGATTGGACCCAAGGAGACATTTCTCAACAGGGCCTGGAGCTACACATTTGACAGCACAGCACATACTTCCCAGAGGTGTCCTGACCATGAGGGTTGCATTCTAAGCCTGACCGATTTGCCCTGCATTTTACTGCACCACAAAGACCTGAACTGCTGGCTCTTGGCTTTGTGGCTGCCAGAGAGCTTCCATCTCATAAATGTGACTGAGCACAGCTCTCTAGTACAGATTTCCCACCATTCTGACCCTGAACACATAGTTGTAGCCTATGAGGATTGATAACATCATGAAGGAAATAGTTGACTCTATGAAAGTCAATTTAACTGATTTACTTGTTTCTATTAATTATTTAGTTTCAGCTCACTGCTTTTAACTGTCACATCAACTTAGTTGTTTCTGTGCAAAGCTCATTATAGCATTTTGAAGACGTTCAGTTTGTCCTGCTCCAGCTTCTTGTTGCAGTTGGAAATGAGAAGGGAGTCAGAGCAGAGAGACTGGGGGGCTTACTTGAATTGGAAGAATCTTTATGAACTCCTTTTCATTAATATTTTATTATTTGTAGAGATTCTTCAAGTCTAATATTGGCCAATCAGTCATTTTTAATGACTTTTGGAAAATTGATCTGGAACCAATCAGTGTTCATCAATATCAGCAGGGTTGATGTTTTCTATCATTCTCTCTCCTTTTCCTTCCTTTCTCCTTCCTTCCCTCTAGTTGTAATTCCCTCCTTCCTTCCTTTTTTTTTGTTTTTGGTATTGGGGATTAAACCTGGGACTTTTATACTAAACTACATCTTATTTTGAGAGTGTATCACTGAATTGCTGAATTCTCCAGGCTAGACTTGAACTTGATCCTCCTGCCTTAGCTTCACAGAGTACTGTGCCCTGCTGGTATTTTCTTTTGTTGGAAAGCCATGGCACCTTCTATTTGGCTTTGTTGACATTTAAACAAAGCACCAACAGAGGAAGCTTCTTGGCCCTGAGATAGAGTGAATCATACCAACTCATATATGTACATTCCTAACCTTTTATTTCACTAACCCACATAAAATCAGAAAAGTGACAAGAAAAGATCAATTGCTAAGTACGTTTCTAAAGAGAAATGTGAGGGTTTCTGGCTTCTTTAGATGGTTATGGTTTATAAATCCTTCTTTTTTTCAAACTTCTCACATCATTTTTCCTTACCATCATTTAATTTTGAGTCTCAGGTCCTTTTGAGTCTCTCACTGCACTGTGAGATGATTGCCAATAGTGATAGTCACAGGGGCTTCCTTACACTGAATGCTATTAGTGACCTCCATATAAGGGCATACTTTAACTTGCTAGCTCAATGCATAAGCATAGCAGTGTAGAACAAATGAAAAGAGCATATGCTACAAGCTGGTATTCGTGTGACCTTTAACCTCACACTGATATATGGCTGTCACAATGTAAGTGAACTATAACTAGGAGAAAAGAATTTATCTTCTCTCTTCAAAGTATCTTACTCTTAAAGACATTATCTCACCTAATTTGTTAATGATAAAAGCTCATAACAGTAAGAACTTGCAAAAGGATGACAGAGTGAAAACTCTTAATGTATTTTGCCAAAGGGAAATTTACCATCTGCCTGTCTTCATGAATCACATATGCTGAGAATAATATTTTAGAAAATACTGACAACAAGATGCAGTAATTTGTAAATGAAAATTACTGATGCTGCCCTTTTTAAAGCAATCTGTGGAATAAATCAGTACAGCAATCTATAGGATTACAAGTCAAAGACTTGAAATAGGAGAATAATAAACTGTATTATTGACTTTTTTGTAATTGTAATAAAAATACCAAATCTTTAAAATGTAATTACTTTGATTAAAACTTCCCTGTTCCTATATGCACCCTTTCAATGTACCCTCAAGACAGGTAGGACAGGAAAATACATTATGAAGCCAAGACTACAATGGAGTAGTAAACAGTGTCAGACATGCAATTAAAGATCACAGAAATAAGTCATTGATGGGCCAGGGATTTAGCTCAGTGGTTCCAGTGCCTGCCTCAAAAGCGCGAGGTCCTGAGTTCAATCCCCGGTACCAAAAAAAGAAAGAAAGAAGTCATTGACTGCTCTGATTTCTCAGAAGGCATTCTTCATAGCACAAATCATGTAGTTGCCATCAGTAAAATACTTCAAATCTCAATGCTTGCTAAAATGAAAAAGATTGAGTTTAACTCCTAAAAGAAGCAAATCATAACTTAAAAGTGTAGCAATTCAGTTATAAATTTAAGACTAACAAAAAAGATACTAGCACTGATCTTGTAACATCCTTTCTGTTTCATACACATATCATAAACTCAGAATGAAAACTATTCACAATTGATGAAAATAAAGAAAGGGGTTTTCTCTTAAAAGTTAGTTTTGGAAGCAGGGCATGATGGTAAAGACTTATAAACCCAGCTACTCAGCAGGAGGCCAGGGCAGGAGGTTTGCAGGTTCAAATCCAGGCTGGGGCAGTTTATAAGGACATCTTGTTTCAAAAAGAAACAAACAAACAAACAAAAACAAAAAACTGGTGTAAGAGTGTGTGTGTGTGTGTGTGTGTGTGTGTGTGTGTGTGTGTGTGTGCTTTCCCAGTACTGGGCCTTGAACTCGGGATCTTCACAGTGAGCCATATTCTCAGCCC